GGCTTTTGGGTTAAATTTTGTGTAAACAGAGACTGCATTTTGTTTCCTGGCTGCCCAGACCCAAATAATCACACGGAAACTATAATAATTACAATGTTGTTGGGTCAATAGCTCAGGCATAACCCAAGCTAGCTCTTACATCTTTCATTAACCCATTTCTATTAATTTGTGCATCCCCTCAAGTCTGTGGCTCGCCAGTAATGTTCTGGTGTCTTTCTCCTTCAACAGCTACGTAGCATCTCTCTAACTCTGCCTTCTCTCTCCCTGCATTCAGTTTAGTTTTCCTGCCTACCTATATTCTGCCCTGCCATAGGCCAAAATAGCTTCTTTGTTAGCCAATGGTAATGAAGCATATTCACAGCATACAGAGGGAATTCCGACATCACTTTTGGGTCTCCTACTTTCAAGACAAAGCCTAAGTGCTATGCATGTCTATATACACACATACATATACATTTATATGTAACATTCCTTAAAGCACAAATATTATGCTATGAACCAACGCTGTAAACAAAAATAGAAGCATTCATGGATCCATAAATCTTTAGGCATTGTGAGTCATTTCACTCCTCTTGAATCTTCAGAGGAGGCAACAGGAAACAGGAAGTGATGAATACAGAATCAGAAATGCAGAGTTGCTGGCATGAGAACCACAGAGTCCAGTCTAAATGCTTTCTATTCTTATCAAATGCCTGGTAAATTACCAATTAAGTGGACTAAAAGGAAGAGAAGAGGGTCAAAGGAACTACTTCAAGAAGAGTTATCCTAGTTAAAACAGTAAAAATTAACGTACACGTGACAGCTCTGTGAATTTATGGCATAAAGAGAAATGAAGTTTTCATTAAGTAAAAAACAGGCTAACTAACAGTTTTTAACTATGTAGCATAGGGCGACTCACAGCCATTATTTGAACTTCATGCCATGCAGTCATGTTAACAGGCTCCCCCCCCACCTCCTAATTTGGGGGGAAAAGAAAAAGAAAAAAATCATTAAATAATAAAATAAAACATAAAACCTCATTGATAAAGAGGGAATTTCTGCACAGTAGGTAATAAATACCCATGTATGTTATACAGTCTTCTGACACATTTTCTTGGCAGATGTTGGTCAATATATGCTCATGTTCTAAGGGACAAGAGATGGACAAAGGCACAGAGCACTCTGCACACGAGCGCAGTGTTCTGCTCTGACAGCAGGCCCATGATGTGGGGCCCATCCCTGTCCTCTGGACTAGCCCATCACGCAGACTACATTCCTGAGTATCACAGGCCACAGGCAATCTGGTAGTCGTTTCTGGATCTGACCCAAACTGTTGTTTAGTTGTTTATGTTTACAAATGTTGTCTTCTCATGGCTTAACTAGGCACTATCTTATTTTCCAGGGTGTGAGTTAGAAGACAGACCGTAGCTTTCCTTCCAAATTGCCAATCAAGATGCCCGAGGGGAAAAAGACGTTGCTGAAGGACTGGTCAAGCACCCACATGTCGTGAGGCTGTAACCTACAAGGTTAGAATACACAGATGTCCAAATCCAGGCAAACGGAGGACAAGATTTTTGTTGGGAATATGTGTGTTATTTTAAACAAAGGCCACAAAATGCTGTCTTAAAAGGCCGTCCTTTAAATATCTCATTGCCACACTGTGAAGCCCCACTCATGGCTGACTGGCAAAGTCACTCCACCTAAATAAATAGAGAGGAACACTTGGGGGAGAGATGGAGAAACTGGCCTTTTCTAACCCCAGTTCTGACCCTGACTTGGTGTGTGGTCCTGAGAAAGCCATTTAACCTCTTGGTGGCTCACATCCCCTTCAGAATCTCACATTTCAGTGGGTAAAGTGAGGATAGGGTTTTGGAATTATCTTCCTTAAGATCCAGGAATGCTTAAAGAAAGAATGAATATTTTCTAAAAGCAGAATAAAAATAAATTTTAATAGAACAGTATTTTGACTAAAAGATCCATATGTGGGTGGATCAAAGAGTTTGAACAACCTTAGATTTTGGTGTCAACTTAATCTTTTATTCTTTTACAGTTGCAATTTAGTATTTTTTTGATATGAAAAGATACAGATTTTGTTAACAAGGAGAAAAAGTAGCTCCAACATAAATTTAGCATAGTCATGTATTTACTCTTGAGTCCATTATTAAGAATGTGTCAGGGCACATTGCCATCTCCTGTGTGCACCAGCAAAGCAGCAAAGGAGAGGGTTTTTTTTTTTTCTGCACGAGAAGTTAGTTTACATGAGGAAGGTACTTCTGAAGAGCATTTCCAGCAATTCCAGGTCCAATTATTTAATACAGTTTTGCATCTATAACAGTTACACACCACACACACACACATACACACCACAGAGCACACCACACACACACACATACAGATGCACCCCACACACCATGAACCCTTTTATCTCTGGATTTCTATACTACAGCCCTCTGAAACAGTTTTACAAGAAAACTAACATTTAAATTACTTACTCTTTAATAATCACCTGATATGCAATTCATTTTTAAGTTGTATACACGTAAGAATGGGAGAGACTAATACAGTGTCTAGTTGAGGAAGGATTTTAAAATCCTCTGACGTGGACACCACTATATCAATTGTAGAAAGGAGACGGAGGCACAGACAGGTTAAGTCACCTAAGAAATGAGAATAGAAGGCTGGGATGGTCCCAATTGTGGATTCATGGGCATGCAAGTAATAGAACACCCTAACTCCACCAAAAAGGAGGTCTTAATCTCAACAGAAAAGACAAAACAAGTTTGAAATTTTAGGGTTTCAGCAAATATGTTCTTTGCTAATTGATACCCATCACAGGAATCCTCAATAGGACAGGCTAGCGTCCTGTGAGCTTGAGCCTCAGCACTGGCAATGCTGAGAAAAGAGAAAAGAAGGTGCAAGATTGGAGCCACAAAGACTGGAGACACAGGTCTCATGGGTATCTGTCCATTTTGTTCTGGGAAGTTCATCTGGCTGGAGAACTTTATTTAAACTAAATATTTCTCCTAGGTGTTCCAGGTGCCAAGGGCTGTGAATTATGGGGGCTTTAGATATGACTGATAAATAGTTCAAGCCTCTAAGGAGTGTCCAGATGGACTGTCTAATATACAAAGGTTCAGAATTCCAGGTATTAAAAAACTCTACAAGGTAGCAAACAAAATGATGTAAAAGAGCAAGAGAAGGCCATAGGCCTGCTGAGAGTCGGACGCTGGGTAAGTGTTACATGAGTAGAAGGGCGAAGCAGGGATGCCAGCAGGAGCCAAGCCATGAAATAAGGTACACACCGGCTTCTGGGCACAGCAAATGGTCCCTTAGTCATGTACCCAGAACCTAAGCAGAGTCATAAGTTGACATGAAACAGCCAGATTTTATGAATGTCATGCAAAGGCATCATATCAGATTTAAATTTTAGAAACATGAATCTCAAATCTTGGTAGATGAGAACTAAAGCAGGGACTCCAGTTCGGATGTATTTGGACATGCTGGTAACACCCTGAAGATACGAATCACCAGTGGGCGTGCTACTAACACCCTGAGTGATGGAGAAACCTTGTTAGCCAATTATCGTTAAAAAGTGAATCCAAGTTAAGGCATGGCTTTCTGGGAGAGAAAAAATGGGCCCGTCACCCAGGTGCACTCTCTCTGGGTGATTCCCATGGGGGCACAGCTGAGCTTGGATTTCTTGTTCCTGTTTCGTGAATTTCCCCTTATAATAAATACAATTATAATTGTTTTATCTTTTAGCTAGCCTGGTTATTTCTTGGATAGAGCTAATTTCTACACCTGAGAATATGGATCACCAGCGGGTGTGCAAATGGGAACCCTGAGGATATGGATCCCTAGTGGGTGTGCTGATAACACCCAGCAAAACTGTTCACAGCCATAGCAAGAGTGAAAGCCATTCTGTTGTGTGAGAGTTGAGAAATCCAGGAGAGTCTGAGAGCAGGTATAGTTTTAAGTTCTGTGAGAATGGGAACTTTGAAGGAAGGCCAGTCATTTGTCAACCTAGAACGACCTCAGTTTCCTCCTTGCTCAGTTCTTAGGTGCTTGTGTGTTTTTCAAGATGCAATACACAGGCATACACTTACTGCCTTGCCCTAAGGCGCCTGGCACAGAGTTTGATGTCTTTTGCTTCATAACCTGGTCCATTTCTGGCACAGTGTTGATCTCAAACGCAGGTCAGCTAACTGGGTAGCTTCATCTTTCCTCACTTGGCTCAATTTACCCCCGATGATCCCGTGAAGAAGGAGTGAAAAGCATGATTTGTGGGCTTCCAAAGATAAGCCAAAGTGGTGGCATTTATTAACTTGAAGACTCGCATGTCCATGGTGACAGAATCCATGCACATGCCTTAGGACCCTGCAGCTGTTGTCTGGCATTTGCATGAGCTGAAATGAATTAGGTAAATGGACTTTCCAGATCGTCCCATCATCCTAAAGCATATAATAGCATTTCAATTTGTATCGTCTAGACTCGCTATCTTACACTGCTATTAAGCCATCACGCTCACAGAACCTCCCAAGCCACAGATTTCTCTGCTGGCCATCTTAACCCACCCAGTTCTGTCCCAGCAAACAAAGTGCACGTTACTCACAGATCCAAGTCATAAGGATCAGAAAAAAAAATGTGAATATTAGGTAACTATGAAAATATGGGAAATAATCATCTTCTCTTTATTCATTCTTAAGAGGTAATTCAGGCCACCATTTGTAGATGTTCCAAATAGCTAAGGTTTTTGGCCACAGAAAATATACACTTTGGAATCATTTTTTTAAAGAGCTCTTCCAGACATGAAATAATTGAGTTAGAAAGGAAACTTCTTAGACCGGCTAAGACCAATCAGTCCCACTTCCCTCCCAGTTTTCAACACACAAACTGATGGAGGTGGGTCTTGTATCTTATCTGTTGCTTTCATTGGTTAATAATAAAGAAACTGCCTCGGCCCTCATAGGACAGAAAATTAGGTAGGTGGAGTAAACAGAAGAGAATGCTGGGAAAAAGAAGCTGAATCAGGGAGTAGCCATGATTCTCCCGCTCCAGAAAGACGCAGGTTAAGATCCTCCCTGGTAAGCCAGCTCGTGGGCTACATAGAATATTAGAAATGGGTTAGAACAATATGTAAGAGCTAGCCAATAAGAAGCTGGAACTAGCCGGGCCAGGCAGTGTTTAATAGATTACAGTTTCCGTGTAATTATTTCGGGCATAAGCTAGCCATGCGGGCGGCCGGGTGCCGGGGACGCAGCCCCGCTGCTCCTAATTCAACACACAAACCATATCTTGGAAGTTCCTGCACACCGTTTGGGAGACAGATGACATCAGATGCCTGGGCTCCTCGCATCCCACAGAAAGCTAAGCTGGTTAATACCATTTATAAGATTATAGGAAGCAAGCATTGGAAAATAAGGATGTAACTGTGGGTAGACAGGATATTTGCTTTCATTTCACATGGCGGAGCCCACTGGCTTGAGGAAATTACCCGTCTTTCAGGGTGACATTTCCTCTTACCAGGCCATGTGGAAGAGGACTCGGGAGCTGACCGTAGCCTCCGTTGAGAAGAAAGACAAGTCAGGCTTGAGTCACTGTTTTCAATGTGTCTCATGAATGCTTTTCTTTAATTCTAAATACATTTCTACTTTGGCAATTAACTTAATCCTAGGTTTAAAACATTTTTGTGTAGAATAAGTGGATGGCAAAATTATCTACTCACTAGCTACGAAATGAAATCCTGCTTCTTCTCTACCTGAGCAAATAGAATAAAAAAGGCCGAGACTCCATTCTTTGCTCCCTGCCCTGAAATCTAGTATCAGTGACCAAAGAAAGTGCATCCTTCAGAGCACCTCTGCAACAAATCTTGTAAAACACAAAGAACTCTGAAGTTCAACCCAATAACAACTTTTTGAAATGGAAGAAGACTCACAGCATGCAATTTTATAAAACACCTAACCTAGATTATCATTCTTCATATACCAACATCCAACCATTTCAAAATAGAATCAATAATAAAAAAATTCTTCAATTTTCCTCAAACTTACTTCCTGTCCAGTGATAACAACTGCAACCTGTGCATTTTCTTCAAGACTTTTCTTTACACATCAAATTTCTTTGGTTGCTAATATTACTGAACTGTAATCTGCTCTTTTTTTCCTCCCAGAGTATGGAGGAAGCAGATGGAAGAAGGCAGTCAGACTGAGTGCTGAGCTTCCAAGGGCCCACAAAGAACATGGACCTTTAACATTCTGTCATCCTGATCAACGAGTCTGAGGCTGGACATAAACGACGTGCGATCAGCCTGCCCGAGTGCCATGGACTAATGCACCCAAAATGTTCTCAAACTGCGCTTTGTTGCCGCATACCGCACCCCTGTGTCTGCGCTCTGTGCACTGACACCCAGTTTGCGAGCTTCGGGCAAGGGGGCTGGAGGTTAAAATACACAGACACACACAGACAGAGAGACAGCGACACGGGTCATCCTTGAATTCCCCAAGAATGCCCCCTTTATTGTGTTCACGGGCAGATTATATAGAGATAGCCACGCCCCAGCCAAACCCACCAGAAACCACTCTCCTGCCATCCTGACAGGAGACAACTCCTGAAGGTCTCGTGCTCAGAGCAGCTGTAGGCACTCAGATCAGGGGATTACAAGAAATTCAGGATCTGGGGTCTCACTGCTCCCAACACTTTGTGAATAAAGACTTCATATAGACTGTCTTCATGATTCCAAGCTAAGCATTTATTGGAGCAGTGAGAATTTTCTCAACTTCTTCCTCTTCTCTCTCCCTAAACACACACCGAATATCATTACTTGGCAGATACTAGATACTGACCATTTGAAATGACCGGGTGGGGTGGTGGGGGGAGGTGAAAATTTGTGAAACACTGTCCTCTAGTGGATAAGTGAGCATTTGCTGTATCTGCAGAAAGAACATGCACTGTATAGAATTCATTGCTAATTTATGTTGCCCAGGCTTTTAATAAGATGCGGTAGTTTTTTTTTTTTTTTTTCTGAGCACGAAGTGTCCAGATGCAAGATTCTGCAGCATCAATGCCTTAACTTCCTCATCATCTCTTGATGATGAATCTTGCAGGTGACTTTATTGTAAAACTTAAGGAAATGCCAGGCAGCCATACAGTTCTAGGGAGTCCACTCAGACCAGGCGACGTGGTTTCAAGGGCTGCTGCCGTTTCTCATGCCTCGGAGTGAAAATGGAAAATAGTTTCTTTTCACTTTAAATACATTTAATGGTGATTCTGACAGAGTCCTCATTTCTATAGGATCCTGTTTTGCCCTGGTCCCTTTTATTACCCTACATGGTAACTTTATTTGGCACGGAGCCTACCCCATGAGCGCAACAGCAATAGTGGGTAGAGAATAAAATAAAACTACACAAGGAATAAGAGTGTGAATGAGCAAGTGAGAGGAGTGAGTGGGCCTTGGTGTGTGAGCCACAACCTCACAAACAATTCTACCTACAGGAGAGGCTGTGGCTCCTGAAGTGTCGGCTCACCGAGAAAGGTCCTGTACCCTTTTCAATCTCCCACTGAGTTGCTATGCTTTCTTCTGATCCATCTTTACAAGCTTGGAAATGGTGTTCCCCTCCAACTTTTTGCTCCAACCGGGTAATGCAAATGTTCTGCTGTACTCTTGTGAAAACAAATATTACATTCGTTTATTCATCTATTGACAGTGTGCACCAAACAGAGCTAGAGGTGGTGTACACAATGGAGGACAACTGGTTTAAGCCTGTTCCTTCCATCGTGTGAGCCTGAGGGACTGAACTCTGGTTGACAGTCTTAGCTGCAAATGCATTTACCCGCTGAGCCATCTCTCTGGCCCTCTGCTTACTTTCATCATCAAACAGTCGCCATCAGCCCCTGGTAGTAGAGCCTAGAACTCTACTGTCCCCGTCTGAATGTATTCAGCATGCTAGCATATCTAAACATTTAGGAAATGGTAGAAATCTGCTCCCCACTGAAGTTCAAGTGGTGAAGCGGCTCCTACAGAATCAGCGTTTGCAGAGCTGAGCCAGCTGGAGTTATCATTAGTTGAGGTTTGCTTCTCCTAGGCATTTGGGTATCTTGCTGTGACTGCGTTCTACAGGTGACTGAAATCTCTCTGTTTTTCATATTTTCTTCCCTCTCCACATCCACTTTTATTTCTCCCCTCACTCTGGTCCCAGTAGGAATTCACGGTTCCTTAAGCATCTATGTCTGTAGTGGTCCTGTTTCCAAATAAGGTCACATTTCAGGGTACTGTACTTATGGTTGGAGCTTCAGTGCTTGGCATTTCGAGGGGTACAATTCAACCCATACTAACAGCCCTTTTAAGGAAAAACTAATCCTCAATAGGAAACCTAGGCTCTGAGTAGGATCTGCGTGAACCATAATCTCATTTATCTTTGGTAAGCTTTGAACTCCAGAAGGACACAACCCTGTCAGCACACATATTTCAGTATGTACCCACTGTGTTCATTTCTCCCTTCTCCCTCTCCCTTTCCCCGACTCTCTCTCCCCATATCCCCCCCCCATCGTTGTCATTGTTTCTTTCTCCTTCTCTGCTTCCTTCTGAAAGATTCCTGGGGAATACAAAGGATTTACAAATGGAGCCTAGGGGGCCAAGCAACCTGGTTTTCTCTGGAATAGTCATTCTATTTGTTCACTGTGAATATAAGGCTGCTTAATGACACCAAGCAGTCATTCAATGTGGGGACATACCCCATGCTTACAGACTACACAAATGAATAAATCACTTGGACAGCTCTCTCTACACACCCTCCTATACTGAGAGTCAGAGGAATGCAACGGGTTTCTTTTGCTTTGGATGACACCACATCCCTGCTAATGAAGTGGATTTTTACTCTGAGCCACCTATTGTGTTCATTTAGATGTGAAACTGGTGATAGATGGTGATGACCTTTTGACACTAACACTGGAATCATTAATTTGTATTTCTCCATTAATATTTAGAAAATTATGGAGGTGATGTGGGATGTCCTTCTGCGTATGTGTTGCTTTATTGGTTGATAAATAAAGCTGCTTCAGCCCATGGCAGGGCAGAGTAAAGACAGGCAGAAAATCCAGACAGAGATATAGGGAGAGAGTAGCCGCCAAAGAAGAAAGATGCCCTAGAACCTTGACCAGTAGGCCACAGCCTTGTGGGGATACACAGATCAATAGAAATGATTTACGATATAAGAGTTAAGTAATAAGAAGCCTGAGCTAATAGGCCAAAAGTATTGTAATTAATATAGTTTCTGTGTGATTATTCGGGTCTACTCACCAGGAAATGAACAAGCAATCTCTGCTTACACTGAGGTTTCAAAACAGAACCTTCCAGTCAAATGAAAGATTCTTATAAGAACCCTAGTCCAAAATATTTGAACAGTAATGCCATATTTTTAAAAAAAAAACTTTTTGAAACCTGTTTCATGTAACATACAGTGAGGAATGTGGAGACGTTGAAATTTGTAACATGGCATAACTCATGGAATAAAAAACACTTCCTTTTTTGGAAGAAGAAAGAGTTTATTGTACATGGTGGCGGGATACAATCCATCGGGGGCATGGGGGAGCAGGGGTGTCATAGAGTTGGTCACATTGCATCCACAGTCAGGAAGTAGAGAGTGATGAATTACCCTCCTCTATCACCTTTTTTATTCAGCCCAGGATCTCAGTCCCTGGAATGGTGCCATCAACAATTAAGGTACGTCATCTTCCATCTCGATTAACTTAATCTAGATTATCACTAGTGTGCCTGGATGCTTGTCTTCTGAGTGATTCTAGATCCTGTCCAGTTGACAATCAGCATCATCTCATATATGTATTATCAGTTCTTACTTGAATACCACCCTTCCAGGCTAGGCTGAAAACTTTAAGACTAGACTGATTCCTTCCCCACCCAAAAAACCACAGGAGGACAATTCCTTAAAACAAGTATATCTGTCTTACCTATTATAGATAAGTAGGTAGGTGATAGGCAAGCATATAGGCAATAAATAGATAAATAAAAAACTTCATCAGTGTGTTTCTCAGTGGACAGTTGCATTCATTTTTGTCAATCAGATCATAAGTAAGCTGCTCAGTCAGAGGACCATGGTCAGTGATTAAGTAGTTAAGTTGTCTGAAGCTTAAATCATCTTTTTTGTATATATTCATGTCCATGTCAGGAAACATTTCTATTACCTTTTAGATATTCAATGGTTTATCATAGCCTAGACTGATAGTAAGACCTGAAAACTTATTTTACAAGTGTACTTGCTAATGGTTGAAAGCATTATCTTTTCAAAAGAAAAATGTAACTATGATTAATGTTACCCATAGTAATAGATACTGAATCTTTAGCACAAGGGAATGGAGAGTCCGATGATTGCAGCTCTGGAGATCCTGACTCTGTGTGAGTTCATGTCAAGGGTGTCATTAAAATCAAAGCAAAGCGGGTATTTTTGTTAAGCCTCAAAGAGCTGGAAGTTGCTAAAGGCAATGATCTGCACTTTCTCCTTTCCTAACCCTTGTCTGTGCATGCTCTTTTCTGACCCTTGTCTGCACTTCCTCCCTTCCCACACTAGTGTGCACTTCCTCCCTTCCCACACTAGTGTGCACTTCCTCCCTTCCCACCCTGGTGTGCACTTCCTCCTTTCCCACCCTGGTGTGCACTTCCTCCTTTCCCACCCTGGTCTGCACTTCCTCCTTTCCCACCCTGGTGTGCACTTCCTCCCTTCCCACCCTGGTCTGCACTTCCTCCTTCCCACTCCCCATCTATTGCTTATAATAAATGGTGCTTAATCCTGGTGATTGATAGGTAAGCTGACATGCATTTCTTTATGGGGAAGTCCCTCAGGTCTTTCTGATAATTCAGTCCTCTTTCTTCCCAACTTCTCCCCATTCCATCACATAGTCTGAACTAGTCCTTTAGATTCCACTGATGCTGGAATACAAATGATGTGACTACAAGACACAGCCTTATGAAATTCACATCTCTGATGTGATTTTCCAGACTAAGATGGTCACTTAAGCAAAAATACTTTATCCTTAATATCATACAAATTAATATTCCATTATAAAGATTTGATTTATTGGGAGGAATTAGTTTTCATTCAAATGATAAAACAATTTAAAACTGATTTGATTCAGAAAGGCAAACATTCCTTTCAAAACAAAGTGGAGAGCTGGGAACATGTATCTGAGGGATAAAGCCTTTAAAATTGTCTGCCAATCACATTCTTTCAAGTAGAATTGTATTTAAGGGCCATTAAGGACATTGCTCTTCAAAATAACCCCACCACAAATCTTTATACAGAGATTTCTATGAATTATTTCATGGTACAATCATCTTCAGTTTATTTTACAGTCAATCCAAATTTTCACATATTTTGCTCAATTTAACACATAAACAGATGTGTTTAAGGAGAAAACTGGTCCTTCATAGCTGAGTACTGTTGTCATCATTCATACTTTTGTGATGAAAATTACACCATCGGTAATCCATGTGGTATTAAGAATTGAAAAATTGGAGCTAAAGATCTGGTTCAACAGCTAAGAGCACTTATTTTCCCCACAGAGGATCTGGCTTTGATTCCCAGAACCCCCATAGTGACTCACAAACAACTAATTTGGTTGTGACATTCTCTTCTGACCTCTCATGGTACCAGGTATGCATATGGAGCCTATTTACAAACGCAGATAAATGTGCACACACAAAATAAATCTAAAAG